TTGTTGTTGTTGATGTGCAATGAATTAATTTTTTTTATATTCTTTAGGATATTTCGAATAAAAAAAGTCCTTACGCCCATCATCGTATATGTAACCCTTTAATTGTTATGAATTTTTTTAAATCCGAAATTGACGAAAATTCTAATTTTCTTGAATTAAATAATATACCTTAAAATTTAAAATGCTATAATTTTAAATTTTTTACCGAATATTTAAACTATAATAAACAAATTAACCTAAATAAATTTTCAAAATTTTGTTTGTTATGTTTTTTTTTACGTTATAACAATATGCTTCCTACGCGCGTGTACTTTTAGAGAGAAGTACTTCTATCTCGCTTCCAACTCAATGTATAAGATGGGTAAGAGAAAGCCCGATGACGCGCTGATTCAATTTTTTGCTGTTTTTCAGAGGTAATAAGTTTTAAAAAATTATTATTAACATTTTTCATAACACTTTGTTATATTTGCCGATTAATAGTTTTGTATCATGTGATTTTTTTTTACTTTTTTTAGATACTTTTGATAACTTTTTATTTATTAAAGTTAACAGAAACATTAAGTTTTACCATTTATTTTTATTCATGAAAAAATTATTGTCAGATACTGCCTGAGAAGTAAAATCTTCTTCTTTCAATACGATAAAAAGGCCAAATGCACTTGTCGTGATACGTGAAAAATTTCTACCTGTTACAATGAACATAGTAGGCTTACTGGGTTATAAAATTTTATGATTTCAAAAATATCCAAGCCTTTCTCCATTTAACAAAAATAAGGAAAAAAATTGTTTTTTTTTTTTCTAATATTGAGAGTAAGAACTATAAATAAGAAATTTTTTATGACTTTCAATCTTTTGCACTATGAATACAAATAGGTAAAGTGACTTATTTCGTATTTTGAAAAAAAAAGTACGTTTAACTCTTCTTCTATTTTTTTCCTGTCAAACAATTTTTACAACCTTCCAAATAGAAAATTCAACCCTACCTTTGAATTTTTGGCTCGTTTTGAAAATTATTTTTCAATTGTTAATCAGTCTTGCTCGATTCTACATCTACTGGTTTACTTTGCAGTCGTGTCATTTTCTGAGTAGTAATGTCGTTCTCTTTAATTCCAAAATTATCTGACGACAAAAAGTGTTTATTTTGTGATCATGGCGAGCGTTAGTGAAGTGTTCGAAACCTGATAACATATTTAAAATTAAAAATGCAACTCTTCGTCGAAACGATAACGTGATTGTGCGATTTAATTTGTTGTTTAATGAAAATACTAGTGAACAATCTTTTTCGTGGCATCGTGGCGCGTAGGAAGCATATTGTTATAACGTAAAAAACATAACAAACAAAATTTTGAAAATTTATTTAAGTAATTTTATTTATTATAGTTTGAATATTCGGTAAAAAATTTAAAATTATAGCATTTTAAATTTTAAGGTATATTATTTATTTCAAGAAAATTAGAATTTTCGTCAATTTTGGATTTTAAAAAATTCATAACAATTAAAGGGTTAAAGATACGATGATGGACGTAAGGACTTTTTTTATTCGAAATATCCTAAAGAATATAAAAAAAATTAATTAATTGCAAAAAATGCATTTACCTGGCTTAATTAATTTTTCGTTGTTTAAACAATAACATCAAAAAATATCGAGTGTCATCTTACACTTTTATAATCAGGAAAGCCTTCCGGACATTTAAAAAAAAAAATAGAAATTAAAACAATTTTGCAAACGAATGCGCCAGTATGCTCTGGTCTATGATGGAGGAAGACAACTTGGCTTACGAAGAATATTGAAGGCGCGCACAAAAATATCTACAGACGTAAGGAAATTTGTTATTCCTAAATTAGATTTCGATGCCAGTTACAGTACCACCTCTTTTAAGTACTGTAACTGATGGACATATCAGAGAATTTATAAACGATACAGGAACTTGTCCTGTAGATTTTTTGTCCTGCCATATACAGGCAGTAGAGAGGTGCGTGAAGGCTGTAACAGAAGCTTCCAATTCTGTTGTCGGCAATGATTCTAGAGATTGATTTATTTGTGCAAGGACTCATTTTAGGACCGTACTACCTCGATTTAACACTAAGGCGGAATACAATGTATGAATTTCATATGCCTATTTTTATTTGTTTGCTCATCTATGTTATATTGTTAAGTTGCACTTGCTTTCGTTTATAAAGAAAACATATTTAAATTGTTTATTTTCATTTTTATTAAAATTGTTTAATCACAAATACCTATCTTCACATATTTCGACCAGATCTGGCAACGCCGATAATTATTGGCAGCTTGATGTACGCGATCAACAGAACTCTCCATAGAAAAATAAAAAGAGAAGGTTTGAATAAATGGCGGGATTTGTTTCCTTGTTGGTAGTTGAACCGTAAGCGCTTAGCGCGCTGCTATCACTAAATTCAAACCCGTTTTACACCCATAAAAAAATATGTTTTCAAAAATAATGACAAAGAAATCAATAATTTTACTGATTTACCCCTTTAAATTTCACTTTAATATAATGTGTGATCAAATACAGGGATAATCGTAAATAAATTTAAAGTTAAAGCTAAATTGAAATATTATTAGATGGTGTAAATCTGGCTTTGAAAATAAATTAGGTTATGTTGCTATAAATATGTCAGCCAGATATTATTTTCATTTTCAAATGCAGGTGATATTTTTTTCAAATGTAGGAGAGTAAATTGTATTAATTAAGTGTAAGTTAGAATTAACTAATTTAACTATAGGGAGAGATTCTTAAGAAAATCATTAACTTCTGATTCATTTAAATTTTAATTGCAGAAGTAAATATTTTTCTCACAAAACTAACAAGAAATTTTATGTTTTTCCTGCTATTATTACTCTTAGAGATAAATGGATCCACATTTTAAACATTTTTGGTCAAAAAAATGAAAGGAGCGAAATGTGTGAAGCCAATTTACAAACAAATATTGTAGAACCCGAGATAGAACCTCATCCTAGTTTTACTCAGAAAGACCATGATAAAAAAAGGCGAATAATTTGTGCTCAAAAAGTTATTGTTCAATTTTTGGGTGATATTCATTATTATATTTATCAAATAATACCCAAATATGTTCAAAAACTTATATGCTATTTAGGTCAACTTGTTAATTTTTGCATAGTTCACTTATTAAGATCATAAATCAGATGTTTTCTATTCTTATTGAAATTTTTATACCTTTTATTGCAAGAAAAATGTAAGAATTTAAAAAAGTTATGACTCATGTTAAATTTTAATTTAATTTTTGTTTTGTTTTAGATATTCCTGGGTATGGAGATTTTTGGAATGTGCATAAATGTGTTTCTTAATTAGGGTGCGTTTCAAAGCCCACCTGTATTTAAGCTGGAGGCTTATTGTACCCGAAATAGGCATTACGACTATTCTAGATTAAAATAGATGGGAAAAGGCCTTAAAGGGACAATAAGTATAAGAATATTAAAATTAGAATGATTTGTCCTTGGATTAATAAGGGATATTTAAAACATTAAAACAATGGTGTTTATAAATTAACTACTTTGACTTTTTATAAAAACTATATCCGGTTTTTTTAATTATAAAAACATTATCATGTGCTATGCGGTTATCATATTATATGTTTATTTTTCACTAATTTAGTGTGTGATATAGTGCTTGTTATCTTCAAAATATGCAGTTAGAAGATAATGAGACACATGTAATTACATGGTAAATCTAAATAAATTAAATTTGTTAAAAATGTGTTTTATTTTTCAACCAATTTTATTTTTCAGTTAAAACAAGTGACATTTTCCATTTTTCAACATTTACCTACAACAAAAATTCACTAAACTTATTGTTTGTTTAGTAGTTGTAAGTAAAAGTTGTCAAATAGGAAAATGTTACTTCAAATTGCTTCAAATATCTAAATTAGGCATTCCAAACTGAATGGCTACCAGTGGGTTCTGACGGGTTATGATATGGCAAAATTATGGCAACCCTGCAGGCCTGTTGATTTGACAAGGTCAATGAAATAGATAGTTACATAGATTGATCATCCATATTTTTCAAAATAAACATAAGCTTATGCCTTGAAGTAAAAATGTAAGAAATTATTTTTTGTAAATATCTAAAGGCTAAAAATTGGTTTTAAAACACATTTTTGCTAAACCGATTCAAATTAATAAAAATTTGCCAGGCAATATGGCCGCTCGTAAACGACCAGCTTTGAGCAATCTATATAACTATATATGTATCATTGACCCTGTTAATGACAACAAGGTTGCCATATCTAAACTGTCATTACCCACTGGTAGCCATTTAGACAGGTCGTTGGAATGCCTAATTACCAAGCCCGCCATTTTCTAAATCGCTTTAATTAGTAGTGTTCTACTTTATCGACTGAAACTGACAGATGTAGTTCAACCGTAAGCGCTTAGCGCGCTACTGTCGAGGTCAAGCAAACTTGTTACCAACTATTTACATGGAATCCGACCCCCGTGGAACTCTCCATTCTTTCATCCACACCGAAGAGATGCACAACAATTTTTCATGTTCACAGTTTATCAACTAAAAATGTTAACAAAAACAAAAACTTTCAAAGTGTTGTGTTTATTTTATAATAAAAATACACCGTCAACAATCTATTTCAAAAATATTTGCAAAAGTGATACTATTTTATTTATTGCTCCGTTTTATTAGATTATTCGGGAATATAGGAAAATTCGAGTAGGTGTGGAGCCCTGAAGATGACATTTTAAAAGTAAAATAAAAATAGCCCGTTAATCATTCTTACTTTTAGCAACTTTTCCACACTATTACGTTTCGAAAATAAATTAAAAAAAATATTTTCTTCCTGTTTCACTCCACCCTAATATGTAGTGCCTAATAATTATTAATAAAATTAAATGACTGATAAAACCAAAGAAGTGTTCATTAAATTTTTTTTATTATTTATTAATATTATTTTAGAACAAAAAATAATCACTATAATTTTTTTCTAAATACAATTAAAATAGTGTTTACCTCGTCCTCTCTTTTTCTTTAGACTATCTTCCTCGTCTTTTTGAGACAACTCCTCGAATAGTGGCAAGGAAACCCCCATAGGCGGTTCAGACAACTCATCATTGCTGTCATCATTTCTAATCATATTCGTTACATTACTAATAATTGGCTCATGTACAATATTAGCGACTCTTTTCCCTTGCTGAACTACTTCTAAATCGTTGAGTTTCTCTTCTTCCGCATCTAATGCTTTCCTTTTCTTTTTCTCATTGTCTACTCGTGAAACAACCTACAAATGTACAAGTTTATGTAACTTTGGCTGTAATATTAACCCTAGGATCATAATTTCCATAGGTATAACATTGTTTTTCATGTAAAATAAACTTACCTTTAAATTCATAACTTTTTCCACAACCTCTTTCTTATTTACATCATTGCTTAAAGTAATTTCCCTATTTGGACTCTTACTATCTTCTTTTTCTAAATTTACATTATCTTTAGCTGCCTTGGATCTTTCTAGCGTTTCTTTTAGCTTCTCCAGCATTTTGGTTTTGTCTGATTTCTCTTCCTCAATCTGGGGCTTATTTTCTTCGCCGTTTGCCTTACTTTCCTCCGGTTTTTTAATATCTTGCACTTTGTTCTCTACTGCATTATCAGTTTTCTTTTCATTATTAACTTCAACCTCTTTTGGTTTTTCAGTTTCTTTTATAGCTAGTGGTTTTTTTATGTATATTTTTGGAACAAATGCTTTTCTTTCAGTTTCTTTCTCTTTTTCCTCGGGTTCTTTCTCTTTTTCTTCAACTTCTTTCTCTTTTTCCTCCACTGGTTCACTTTCATTATCAACAGGTTCTTCGCTGTCTTTTTCGTCTTCTTCATCATTTGCTACGAAATCTTCATCATCATAATCATCACTTACAATACCTAAACGATCTCTCCTTCTTCTTTCCTGAAAAAATTACCAGAATTTAAACAAAAATTTTTATAATATTAATAATTATTTTGGATATCAATATTTATCAATAATTAATTATCAATAATTATCAGTATTTAACAATAATTATAAATAATTAATAATTAATTTTCCAAAATAGTTTACAAAACGCATGTGCTTTATAGGAATAGAACACAAAAATATAATTATTATTAATAATTGATAATTGATAATTAATAATTAATAATTAATAATTAATAATTAATAATTAATAATTAATAATTAATAATTAATAATTAATAATTAATAATTAATAATTAATAATTAATAATTAATAATTAATAATTAATAATTAATAATTAATAATTAATAATTAATAATTAATAATTAATAATTAATAATTAATAATTAATAATTAATAATTAATAATTAATAATTAATAATTAATAATTAATAATTAATAATTAATAATTAATAATTAATAATTAATAATTAATAATTAATAATTAATAATTAATAATTAATAATTAATAATTAATAATTAATAATTAATAATTAATAATTAATAATTAATAATTAATAATTAATAATTAATAATTAATAATTAATAATTAATAATTAATAATTAATAATTAATAATTAATAATTAATAATTAATAATTAATAATTAATAATTAATAATTAATAATTAATAATTAATAATTAATAATTAATAATTAATAATTAATAATTAATAATTAATAATTAATAATTAATAATTAATAATTAATAATTAATAATTAATAATTAATAATTAATAATTAATAATTAATAATTAATAATTAATAATTAATAATTAATAATTAATAATTAATAATTAATAATTAATAATTAATAATTAATAATTAATAATTAATAATTAATAATTAATAATTAATAATTAATAATTAATAATTAATAATTAATAATTAATAATTAATAATTAATAATTAATAATTAATAATTAATAATTAATAATTAATAATTAATAATTAATAATTAATAATTAAATTATTTTCCAAAACAGTTTACAAAACGCATGTGCTTCATAGAAATAAAATATAAAGTCACTTTAATACTTACATCTTCACTGTCTGATCCCAAAGTGTCAATATAAGTAGTTTTCTTTCCTCTAGTTCTTCGCCCTTTACCAAAATCATCTTCGTCGCTGGTAGTTAATCCACCATATTTAATTTTAGGTCTTTTTTTGATACCCCTTTCAAGATCAGATAGTTCGTCTAAAATGCTCTTCTTCTTTTTTTTCTTTTTTTCGAAACTAGACCTATGAAAAGTTCAATTATTAAAAATGATATACACTATTTTTAAACATATGTTACTTTTTCTTCTTCTTTTTGGACCAATTACCATCCGAATCGGTAGAGTCAGTGTCTTCGAAGTAGCGAATCTTCTTCTTTTTCTTTTTAGGAATATCATCGTCATCATCAACTACAAAAATCAAATGAATGTAAATAAATATTTTTATTAGTAGTTTTAATATTAAAAAAACACTTCAAATTGGAAAAATGTATGACTTTGAACTTACCAAAATCAGCATCGTACCGAGAAACTCTATTTCTAGTTGATCTACGAACAGGGCGCACAGATCTCCCTTTACGGCCTATGTCATAGTCATCACTATCATCACTGTCTACAACATCATCCTCCTCTGAACTAGAGCTAAAAAAAAATATTATATAATACAATAAATAGGTCTAATACATTTTATTAGATATCTAATGCAATAACTTACAATACTTTTAACTGTCGCCTTTTAAAAACGTAATAAAAATGGAAGTAACACAACTCTTGGTATCTATAGTCCCTATACTATTCTTTATACAGTGTGATCTATTTAAAAGTAGAACCCGCATTTAACAGACAATTGGAAAAATAGCTTTTAAGGATCATGGAGGGTCATCTTAAATGGGCCACACTGTATATTATATATTAAAACTCAATTAATTAAAAACTACCTGGATCCTTTAAAATCTTCATCTTTCACATCATCTTCTTCACTACTGAATTCAAGGCTTTTAAAATTGGTTTTCTTCTTTTTTGTTCTTTTCGTGACAGGAGGTTTGACCATATCTTCTTCCGATTCCTCCTTTTGATTTTCTTCCTCAGTCTTTTCTACATTCTCTCCAACTGGTTCATCTAGTTTTTCTTCAACTGCTGCTTTATCTTGTTCAGGTTTATCTTCTGTATTAGGTTCTTCTACGAAACCATCTTTTAGCCTTTCTTGTTTTTCCCTTTCTATTCTATCCAATTCTTCGGCTCTCACAATAGTGGACATATCTTTGCCTCTGGTCTTTTTCATAGGTGCTAACAATTAAAATTGAATTAATAAATAATTCCATACAACAAATATCTTAAGTTACCTGGATCATGATCTCTGTCCTCCAAATCATCTTGGATTGCAGATTTAATAAGTTCGTCATACTCATTGAACTTATAACTTTTAGCTTGCCTTCGCTGTCTGAGTTGATAAATTGGTTCGTCACTGTCACTGTCTTCACTTTCAGATGCCGAAGAATCTGTCTCCTCTTCGCTGCTCGATTCAGTCCCGTCTGCAGAATGCCTCCGTCTCTTTTTGCGATGTTCTTTTTCATGAGTCGGCAATACATTGTTTAGACTAATCCCGACATAGGCCAATCGTTCTTTCCTCCTATCTTCGAGTACTTTCTTTGTCAACTTTTTATCATATTCGACCAATTTTACATGGAGATTTTCGACCAGTTTTACCTAAAATAAAAATAAACGTTCTAATTTAATTTAAAGTAAATAATTTTAAACATAATAAAAAAACAATGATGTGTGTATGTAACTAACATTAGCAATGAAAAAATTTATATTTGACAAGTGTCAAGTGACAATATGAATGTCTGTCAGGTAGAATGTTAAAAATTGGTTACAATTTGTAAATCGGTGTACGAGTCGTACTAGAACTCCCAAACTATGGACTACTAGCACTCCATAACCTACACAGAACACGAGGCTAATGGCCTAAGTTATCGAAGTCGAAGACAACAATAAAAAAATCTTTTACATGAATAAAAATTTTCCTAGGTTTATTCGGTCATGTTTTTATTTTAACACAGCACTACAAAATTTAATAAAACTTGGGTACGATTACAAATAGTTTAAATTTTTTGAAATAACAGAAGACCCGTCTTTCTGTTTCAGCTGGGGTTTCTGTTCTACCCAGACAATTATACATTCATGTGTCGCGACCGTGTAGACGTGTTTACCTTATCGTTCTCCATTGACACCCGTTTTTCTGTGGTTTATATTTCAATTAATTTTATGAAACTTACTAATCGAGTTCCTAACGTGCATTTTATTGCCTCAGTGGAAAATAGTGCAAGAAAAATGTTATCGACAAGTTTCTGTTATTACTGCACAAAAAGTAGCTGGCAATGTCGACCTGTGCTAATTGCTTAAAGACGATTTCAGATCGCGAATCTGCGAAGCCCCAGTGCGATGGGTGTAAATTTTTCATGCATTTGAACTGACTGATTTAAAAGCCGATGATCGTGTCACTCGCCAAAAACTTCGATGCATTAAAATAGTTTGTAACCATTGCTCCTCAATCGTAGATCAGTTTAGTGAAGTTAAGGGTATTGTGACGAAAGTCTAATTTATTTAAAAACACAGTATTTATAATTTATATCAGACGTACTATGTAATTTATATAATACTTAATAACAATTCTAATTTATTTCTTACACTTAAACTTTTCAATACAATGTTCTATATTCAACTAAACTCGGCGCTGATACGTCGGCTATTTATATTAGTCCAACTCCGCTACTGGAAAATGCTAGAGGCTCTCCGCCGTTCCAGCTGTTTCTCGAGCCTCAGCGGCATTCCCAGAACATTGCGTCGCCTCGAGCACGAGTCGGTTGCAATGTGAAGGTCGAGCGTACACATGGTAGGCTTTAAGAATTTCATAACAGTATCCTAGACATTTAAAATAAATATTGATAAAAAAGTTGATTCTTTTGATGAAAAACTTAAAGGTATAGAATTTAAGAATCAAGTTAAAAATTCTCAATCTCTTCGTTCTCCTAAATTTATCGAAACTCTTACTGCAGAAGCAGTCGATAGAATTCGCCGTGCCAAGAATATTATAATTCGCGGGATCGCAGAGGCCCAAGGAGACAGCGCTGTGAAGAAAGAACACGATAAATAAAAACTCGATTTGATACTGAGCTCGCTCGGTTCAACAGCCAAAATGGTTTCTTTTTATAGAATCAGAAAACCAAATTCTAACAATAAACACCCTCGAATGATTAAAGTCACTTTTCAATGCGAATCTGATGCTCGAAACGTAAACTGATGGAAAATAATTTAACCAAGGATTTTAGTATCGCCGATGACAAAACTCAGGCTTAAAATTCATACTTAAACAATCTTAGAACTGAATTGGAAAATAAAAATCGAAATGGCACTGACAACTGGACTATAAAGTACATTAATGGATCACCAAAGATCGTACACAAATTTCAGCATTAACTGGTTAATCTTCAACTTTCAATGATTGGCTCTTATTGTACACAAATTTAGATTCTCTTCCCAAAAAATTCAATGAATTTATTTGTCTTATTCAATCTGAAAAACCGGACTTTATTTTAATTACCGAAACGTGGCTCAATGTAAATATTCCAGACAGCTTAATCTCTATTCCAAATTACCAGATTTTTAGATATGATTGAATTGGTAGACGAGGAGGGGGAGTGTGTATATGGGTGATTCTCGCCTAACTGTGATTTTTTATGTCCAGTGTTTTATTTATCGTTTAGCATAAGTTTTCCTCATCAAAAAGTTATTAATATTATAAATTTAGAGGTATTTTACAACCGACATTATGAATTAGATCATAAACCTTCGTAATTTTTTTTAAGCTGCATATAAATATACTCGAAATGTCAGTACCGTGGCATGTCCGATTCTCATTTTTAAAATTAAATATATAAATTTCTATCAAAAATCATTTTTTAATATAAAATTTACCTCTTATAACTACAATCTAATGCATACTGCATTGAATTTTATTGCAATTTTATACCAATCTTTGGATTGGTAAAAAAAATAATCATTTATATGTCAGTACCGTGGAAATAATGTCAGTACCGTGGCATTAAAATTTTTAAATTTTATCACAGTTTTCGATGTGTCGTAGATGTAGTAGAACCACTTTGCAGGCTTATTTCTATGCATAAATAGAAAACAAAAACGCGTAAAACATACGTTTTGAAACATTTTTAATTTTAGAAAAATGTAAGTTGTAAAAATCACAGTTAGGCGAGAATCGCCCATATATGTAGCTCAACATATCTTAGACTGTTTTACAATATCATCTGTAGATATCTCAGTCCCTCGTATTGATTCTCTTTGCAGCTGCAACATCTCAATTGCCGTATTATTCTTGCAGTTATTTACCGTCCGCCAGACACACCTGTTGCTACTGACGCGGCTCTGCTAGACAAACTCGTTGTCCTAAGTGGTTCTGAAAATCTGATTATAGTAGGTGATTTCAATTTTCCAGACATTAAATGGCCAATTATTTCTATACCTCACACGCAAAATGTTACCAATCAGTTCATGGAATTTATCCACAATTTTAGTTTTGTTCAACTAATAACCCAACCTACGAGATTTAGAATAAATCAGGAACCTTCTACCCTCGATCTACTACTTACCAATGATGAACAACTTTTAACCCCACGGGTGTACCTCCCACCAGTTGGAATATTTGATCATGCAGTCATAACGTGTCGTTTACAATTTCAATCATTCTCTTCTTGAACATCCAATCACACTATCTTCTCACTCACAAACTTTGCTGAAGTTTTTTCCTATCTAGACCAACTAGACTGGATCAATATTATCACTGAAAACAATGATTTGAGCTGCATGTGGAATATCTTTCAAAATTCAGTTAATGATTGTGTAAAATCTCATACTTAAAACAAAATAAACAGAAGAACAAATTTGAAACCCTGCTGACTATGGTAAAACATAAGAAATACCTATGGAAAAAAATTTAAGCGAACCACCAATATGATCGATTTCTCTGCTCATCGACTATTCTCCAATCAGCTAAAGGCAGCAGTTATGAAAGCAAAGTATAACTATGAGGAATAGATCGCCAACTGTGCTGATAGCAAAAAGTTCTATAAATATGTCAGAACAAAACTGACTTTTAAAGTGTCTGTACCTCTTCTACAAAAAGAAAACGGTGATAAGTGTGCCAACAATACTGAATCTGCTCAACTTCTTTCTGACACCTTCTATAATTTCTTCACCCTTGAAGATATGACATCACCACTTGGATATTTCACTAAACAGAATGCAGGCCTCTATTTCCAACGTATTGTTTAACCCAGACATAATAAAAAACAAACTTAAAATGCTTAAGTCCAACTCTTCGCCAAGCTTAGATGGTATCTCCTCTTTTCTTTTAAAATCTTGTGCTGACACTCTGTTATCCTATTTCCCGTATAATGACTTCCTATAATTCTCACATCTTGCCATCTATATGGAAGACTGCGTCTGTGACTGCTATATTCAAAAAGGGCAATAAGCTTGACGGATAACTATAGACCGATAAGCCTTGTACCAATAGTTTTTAAAGTAATGGAGTCCATAATATGTAATAAGGTAACTGACTTTCTTGAAAACGAACGATTACTTTCCACCCAACAACATGGATTTATCAGTGGACGACCGACCTTAACTAATCTCCTGCAGTCTGTCAATGACTGGACAAAAGTCTTAGATGCTAATCTTCCTACAGATGTTATATACTTCGATTTTTCTAAAGCCTTTCATAGAGTTCCAAAGCACCGACTTCTTAAAAAGATTGAACACCTAGGAATCCGAGGCAACTTAATAGCTTGGGTAATGGACTTCTTAACCTCCAGACAATTTCGCGTAAGAGTTGGTAATAGTTTATCTTAAACCAAATCCGCTGTCAGTGGAGTGCCTCAAGGATCAGTCCTTGGTCCCCTACTTTTTCTATTATATGCTGCCGATATGTATGTGCACATAAAAAGCGGTTGCTCCTTCTACGCAGACGATACAAAAATTTACACTAATCCGATTGCGGACTATCAGTCTCTTCAATCTGATCTAAGTGCGGTATCAAAGTGGAGTTCAGACTGGTTATTACCGCTAAATGTTGATAAATGTGTTGTTCTTCATATCGGTAAAAACAATCCTAAATTAGTGTATAATATCAATAATAATGCCTTAAAGACAGTATAGTCCCAAAATGATCTCGGCGTTATCATTACTAAATACTTAACATGGTCAGAGCATATATTATCAGTAAGCAAACAATTAAACTCTCAACTATTCTTATTAAAAAAGACTTTTTGAAAACATACACAACATATGTTCGTCCTCGCCTGGAGTACTGTGGTCCTGTTTGGTGTCCCGTATTAATCTCGGATCAAAAGAGGTTAGAAAATGTACAACGACTTGCAACAAGACTTCCGTATGGTATGAGAAGGCCACCGGATGAACAGCGTCTGTCTACCGCTATTCTGACTCTTTTTAGTGAGCGTCGACTGCGTGGTGATTTAACCGTTTGTTTTCGCACAATTAAGCATATGTTCGGTGTCGATCTTTCGGATTTATTTGTATTAAATAATGACTTGCGCCTACGTGGGCACATGTGCGAATTAAAAAAGGATAATTTTAACTCTAGAGTTAGGCAACATTTTCTTTTAATCCGAGTTTTCTCTGTATGGAACAATTTACCTGATAACGTTGCATGCGCATCTTCAGTTAACTCGTTTAAAGACAAATTTGATTCCTTCTTTTTTTTTAAATATCAATTTATAGTTTATAGATTAAAAAAAAGTTGTTTATTTTTAACTAACATTTTTTAGAATAATATGAGCTTTATAGGACTTCGGTTCTCAGCTCATGTCAGTTAATAATAATATGTAGTGCTGTGCTAAAATAACAACATGACCGACTAAACCTAAATAATACGCTCTTGACTTTTAAAATAAAGTATATAGTCAACATACATTTAAAATGATAAAACAAAGTCAATTCTGCAAAAAATAACAAGCCACTAGGCTAAAGATCCATTTGTAACAAGTGATTGGGCTTTAACTACTGTTTGAAAATACTATTAAGGGATTAAAGCAGCACTGCCACCAGCCAAAGAGTCCTAGAGTCCAGAAGGAACATCCATTCACCAATGACATAAAAAACTAATAAAATTAAAAATCAATAAAATGGTTCCTTAATAGCTTTGGCAACTAGTTATAGACTCTTCTAGTCCTTAGGGGAAGAACCGCCGAGGCTACACAAATATTTCATAACTGGTTTTGGAAAGGAGAGAAGAGAATAATAATAAAAGTGAATGAACCGTAACACATGTAAAATAATTACAAAACAAATATCAATTACCAAACACTTTTGAAACAAAATGTCAAAATAATTCACACAAATCACCACACAAAACTTTATACATTAGGATGTTTCGGAACCTAGGGTCCCGAAACGAGAGTCTCGTCTTTTGGCAAGAGTTTTGGACAACAGCTCTTACTTTAACCTCTATCAATTATCGACAGACTCTTTAACACAAAATTTATGTGACAGTCTAATTTTTAGTTTTTAGAATGTCAATGTACTACTTTAAATAATTCTCCAGTTCAATAAAAGCCATTGACTACAATAATAACCTAATTGTTTGGTTTATTTCAATACTTGTTTTCTTTTTGAATAATTAGTTAAAACATTAAAAAAAATATGTTTTTTTAAATTTTTGTGCAATTCTTTATTTTACTAATAATAATGCCAATTATAACAAGGAAAAACATCAATTAGTCAGCAAGTAATCGCGCAGTTTTCTTTTAAATATTGTTGTGTTTGAAGAATATATTCAGGCAAATTATTAAAAACCAGCTTTAAAAAAATAAATTTTGGGTACATTCTAAAATTAATAAGCGTGTTTCTTGTATTGTGTTTATCTCGAAAATTTCTTCACATTCAACTATATTACTTATAATGAACTACATGATCTTTTTATGGGATGTGGCTTGTCTCTTTTAATTGCTGAAATTTTCAAAAATCATTTAGAAACCAACTATATATTTCCACAAAATCATTACTTTTTTAATATACCGATACGTTGAGGAAATATTGTATTTGTTACTGTTAATATCGACATTACACATAGATCAAAATAAAAATATTTGACAGTTGATGCGGAAAGTAGATTTATAATCACCTCGGGTGGTATAGTGCACTTCCCATAAGACTAAATAGTGTGAAATCTGTCACTTTCCAAAGTGGTCGTAGGAAAAATTGTTAACATTGTTTTTTATACCTAGATTCTAGATATTTATATTTAATAAATTAAGTTTTTAAATTAGTGGAGATGAAAAATTCGCATATACATCAAACTTTATGGCACACACTGTATTATATTTGATCAGATAATTCATGTGACATAAGTATGATTGCTAAGTTCATAGTGTGTGCAACTTTATCAAAAGATCATATCGCGACCATGTCGCAACGCAGATTCCATTCCCGATAAAAGCAATCTTTTTATATTTAATTTTTGAAAAATAAGGAAATTAAAAAAATATTACTGGTGTTTTTTAATTATCGTAAATACATTTTATTCTTCATAATATTACAGTTAGATTCGACCGAAACAAAAACCGAATTTCGACTCCTGTTTTAATTTCGGCCTAAACCAAAACGAAACAAAAACGGAATCAGAAATTTGCTTTTAAGGCAATATTCTTATTGAAATTGACAATATCTTATTGCAATCCTGGTAAAATTTGCATAATTTGTAAGGAAACACAATTTTCTAAAAAAAAAAAAAAATTCTCACCTCATGTGGTATTTCAAAAGATTATTGAACTTTTTAAATCCAATCGTGATTGAGTGAAAACACTTCAACATGCAGTGTTTTCAGATAGTTAGTTTTGATTGACGTGTGTTTGAATAAAATATGATGGTCATTGGTTGATGTATTATAGTATTAAATAATCAATATATTTATATGCATGTTATATAAAAAAAAATCATACTATATATCATACTATATATTATATCATAGTAAATTCATTAGAGTTAAAGCATGCTTAGTTGCAATTCCTAGAATAGTTATCATTGACCTGTAGGATTATATTCAGCTAAGTTGCATTTCTTGTAAATGCAACACTTTTGTGTCCTTACACCTTTTAGCTATATCTTTTGTTTTACCTACCTTATAAATAGGGGTGACACAAATTTAAATCCTTAGTTCATAACAACTCACCTTCCAGAAACATACTTTATACTTTTTAGTAATAAAATATATTTGTTTTAAAAAATCATTTGTGTTATTCAAGATATAACATGCATATGAAATTGAAATTTTCTCTAAGTATTTTATAATCTTGTAAATAGTTAATGAATTGAAGATAACTCAAAACTGAAAGAGCTTTGCAAAATTGCAAAAAATACAAAGTTTTTCTTTATAATATAATTTTGACTAAACCTTAAAATAAACTCACATGTTGACAAGGCGGACAGAACCAGTCTCCTTCTGGAATGCTTAGTAGAGGCGGCCTCAAGCAAGAACAATGCCAACCATTGTCACATTTATCACAGAGCAGCACCATTTCCGGATGATCAGATTTGCCACATTTTTGACAAGGAAAGTCCTCACCTTCTTCTTGTTTTTCGTCAGTTTCTAAAAAAAACAACATAGTTATTTATGCAACAAGTGTGTAACAAGTGTGATTGTCGCACTCGCCTACGGCTCGTGCTCGTCAAAAAAGGGACTTTACACACGAGTGGCATACAATATTTTTTCTACTACCGTACACATAATCCACTAATATTAGAAATATAAAAGTTACTTTTTTTCACTAGTGAAAAAAAGTACTTTACTTTACGCACTAGTGAAAAAAGTAAAATGTGCCAAAAATTGTACACAGCAACAAAAATAAATTTATTGGAACTTTACAAATTTATAATTCTTACAGAACAAAATGACTAACAAATGAAGAAATATTTAAAAAAATAGGTTTTTAACGCTTATGAATATTAATATTGAATGTGCAATTATTGCAATTACCAAAACTTAAGGTTTTGGCCTTTTCCAGCACAGAGTTTGAAAAATGTTGTTATTTTGCTTCTGTAACCCTATTTTGAGCTTCGAGTGGTATGGATTTGGCCTTTTCGAGTAAAGAGGTTGAAATATTTTGTGTAACTCTAGTTTCACTGTCGAGTGGTTCCACTAATTCTTCATTAGAGTTGTCAACGGTAAAATTGTAGCTTTGTTTGGAAGTGGATGGCATACTGTCATCCATCAAAATTTTATTAGAAATTTTGTTTTTTTTGTGTTATTGTGCTGTCTACGTAGCCTTCTGCAACAGCAGATGATTTCCATCCTCCATGTTTTTTGACCATTAGAAGGTCTCCTCCAGAATTTACCAGCATAGTGGCTGAAGACCTCCTAAAGCAGTGTCCTGTAAAAGCCGTTGGATTGGGCAAGTTTAGATACGTTGCTATAACACTTGGCATTTTACCAAAAGTATTTATCCCTACAGGCTGTTTAGAATATTTTCCATTTGGGAATTTTAAAAAAAATCTGTTACAATTTATATTTGATGGTCTTAATGAGGTATATTTTTTTATGAAAGATAAATAATCAACCGCAAAATTATTTGGATTTAAAATCGTAAAAATGCGTTCTATTCCATGTTTGGTTTCTGATACTTTGACAATATACACTGTTTGTTTATCTTCCACATCGTTAATTGTCATTTTACATAATTCTTCCCGGCGACAAGCTCCCGCAATTCCAATTATTATAAAAGCTACCTAAAAAATAACATATTGTAATGTTACAAATAATTTATTAAACATTAGGAAATATCTTGACGTTGCGCATGTAAAACTCCAAATAAATGCTATTGTAAAAAATATAAAAATTTTAGGTATAATGTGCTGCCTAACAACCCCGGTGGCCTGTTAGGACAGCAACTGATTTTGTTAGGCAACACACCATACGAACACACATCTCGTTGCAAAACTTTACAGAATATTTTAATTTTATACTGAGCATTCAAGCATTTACTGAGGCATTTACTTACTTTGATCATTAAAAACTTGAAATCTGGAGCTTTCAACAGAAAATTAATTAGATCTTCCCGTTCAAAAATTTTGGATTTTTTTGGTTTATAACCTTTATTTTTTTGTTTGAGAAACGCTATTAGTTTGTTGAATTTCGAAATATCAACGTTGTTTTTATATTTTAAGGTGCTTTTAAGCATAGAATAAATCGACCATAGGGTAGAAGCTTTGCAATTCTTCAATTCATCAGAGAAATATGCTAAAATAACGTTTTCCTAATATTTTGTCACCTTATTCTTCCTACACCATTCTATAAATGCATTGTATTTTTGCTGATAAATATATGCAGATTTTTCTGGCAATACATTTTCAGTGACCTTTTGTGCACTGCTTAAGATATCTGGGGGAGTATTATCAAATTTGCTATCGCTAGATATACTTGAATCCATATCGATTATGACAGATATAATAAACTGCAAATAAAATTTGAATTTAAGTAAACAAACATTAAAAAGTAAAACTTTTTACCTTCTCAAACTTGATTGAGTTTAAAAAAATGCTAAATTGGCTTTAGAATCTAATCTTGAACTTAAGTATACTTTTGTCGTGTTCTGTTATAGGTACTAATTAAAAGTTTAGAGATTGACAGTTCTTCTAATCCACACAGCCACGGCCAACTTACTTTTACCAAAATCGACATCCACTGTATGTTTACTTTTAATTAAATCGATGACATTTAGAGAAAATTATAATTAAAATAAACTGTTGATAATTTGTTGGACACTAAATAGATATAAGCAAAAATAATTTATTTATTCGTCTTAGAAGGAGATGTTAATATATAAAATAAAACGTTATATTTTGTTATGTACAAATTTTGTCAAATTTTACTTTTTTTAACTAGTGCGTCAAGAGTTTTACTTTACGCACTAGTGAAAAAAAGTACAACTTTACACACTTCGTGGAGTGCGTAAAGTACGTCCTTTACGCACGGTAGTAGAAAAAATAAAATGTATTTTTTTGAATCTCTAAAGCAATGTATCATATTATCGTGAGGTTTTTCTGAAACTTATTTTAAGTACCTACACCATTACAGTTTGTAAATTTCCAAATAACTAATAAGAGACTACATACTGAAAAAAATAGACAATGCCATTAAATTTAAACTTTTTTATTGTCATTATTATTAATAATGACCAGTTAACAACCAGTGCACGATAGAGAAAAAAGAAGTATAAAAAATAAGAAAGTGACACTTCTTTTTTTAGGGTATGGTCCGATATTAACCGACTACTAACCAGAATTTTTTGATATCGGTTCCTGAAAAACACTAATTTCTTGGTTACATTTGGACCATGACCGAGATTTACGACACTTTTGTGACATATTGATTTAATAGTAACCGTAAATATATAGCGGTTAGTAAATTGAAGTTTAAGTCACCATTTTCAGGTAACCGCGTCCCTAATTTAATCGATTTTTCAGAAATGTTAAGCAGAGTGGGTAGTTTTGAACCGAGTAACCGATATTTCGGTTAATAAAGGACCATACCCTTAATATCCTTTATGTTTTAACCTTCTTCTTTTTCATACTTGAAAAATTCCAAAAATATGCCAATCTGAACTTTTCGTTCGGACACCCGGTGTATTTATTTTTGAAACAAAACTTACCTTCACGAATTTTTTTCTTTGCCGTTCGAGCCCTTTTAGGTGGTTGGTATTCAGCATCAATATCACTCTCTGGCGAAAACTCATGGTCCGACTTGAATTCCAGAGGAGGTTCTTCTTCAATGGCCTCTTCTTCTTCCTCTACCTCTTCCTTTTCTTCTTCGCTCGATTCAGTACTCGATACCCAAGGTCTGTGTTCGTCAAATATTTTACTCGGAGCCTTGTTTTTCCGTTTCTTCTTAGATTTTAATTCGCTTACAAATTCGGGCTCGGATGAATCTTCTTTTACTTTTTTTTCAGGCTTCTTTTTCAAAACCGGTTGTTCCTGTAAGATTGTGTAAGCGTCGATTAACTTGTACATTAAAAAATAATCGAAAATATTGACATTGCAATTACCTTGTCTTGTTTCTTATTCTTCTTTCCTTTCTCTTCTTTAATTTTTGATGGCGATTTTTTCGGAATATCTACTTGTTCCTTGATTTTGATCTGAGCTAGTCTCCGCGACTGTCTTACACCACTTAGATTCAAATCAGCTTGGGATATATCTAGGCCGGCTAATACTCGTTCTAAAATATTTTTTTATTAAATAAATTGAACCTCACACTTTCCTAATAATTATTTTTAGAGATAATAAAAGGTCATCACAAAACATAAACATAAAGTGGGTATTAAATTGTGCAAAATTAAAAAGAATTAAATATTGGCTGAAACTCCTGCATAATATGGAGTAAATGATAAAAATGTACAATTCTTATTCACAAATTATATACAGGGTGGCCTATTGAATTTTTAGTAGAATTTTTTACTAACTATTTTTATTTTCGGGATTTCTATGGATAACTCTCTTTGGTTTAACTGGTTTGGCAAGTGGAGGAGTACTATTAGAATCATCGTCACTTATATCAATAGTTTTGGCTGTTTTTTTGGTCTTTGGTGGAGGTTTCTTTTTCTTTGTATTCCCTTTCTTAGACTTAACATTATCATCGGAAACCTCTACAACTTCATCGCTGCTGCTCACTTGTTCTTCCTTTTTCTGCTCTATGCTTTTTCTAAGTTGCACGTCTATTTGTCGTTTTCCCTAAAATCCAATAAAATTTACAACCGAATGATAATTTTAAATTTTGTAATAAAAAAATTGATGAAAAAAGGCTAAATGGTAGAAAAACAGAAGAAATATAAGTTAAAGATTATGTCGTCGCGGGAACACGCCGACAATACTAAAAAGTGCAAATATTGCAAAAAAAGTAATAGATTCACAGGACTGCTTCAAGTGTGGGTCCTGCTTCCACCCGAGTTGGGTACAAGTGAAGCTATCAATTCCAAAGGGGCTATAAATTGCTGTGAAAACATCGAAATAAGTGAGGTTAAGTCAAAAAAAACGTAGTGAAAACGAAAACCACGATTATAGCAAAAATGAAAAAAGGCTGAAGAATATTATTCAGGATTCATTCCACCAGTTTTTAGGTCCCATCGAAAAATCAATGGACAAAAAATTTGAAGACTTGGAGAAATCGGTTCAATTTATGTCCAACTCGTTCGATGAACTAAAAGATCAATTTAAAAGTGCCATGGATGAACTCAAAATAGTATAAACAAGAGAATACAGACACGAGACATATTACCTATAAAATCTATGCAAGTCCAGGTTAGCAACACCGAAATAATTGACTGCTTTAGAATAAAAAAGTATTAGAAATTAAAAATAAAAAAAAAAAAAACGACTTCAAAAACATTCAGATGTCATCACCACATCTTAACCAAATTTATATGGAACCACCCCTGTGGTACCCCCTTACTAACAAAAAAAGAATCATATAAATTGGACAAGGTGGTAAAAAAGCATTATCGCTAAAAACATACATAAAAAATTAAGAGTTTGAGGATTTTCTCATGGACTCAATTATTAGATTTTGACCAAATTTATATGGGACCACCCCTGAAGTACCCCCTTTCTAACAAAAAAAGAATCATTGAAATCGGACACCGTGTTAAAGAATTATCGCTGAACATATATAAAAAAAAATGCGACGAATTGAGAACCTCCTCCTTTTTTTTTGAAGTAGGTTAAAAATATAGTAACTCAAAATAACCTCCCATATGTAACCATAGACAATAACAAGTTACTCAAAATGTTCTAAGAAACAGAATGGGATGATGTTCTTGCGCAAGATATTAATGTAAGTACTAACATATTTGTAGATAAACTTATAAATTTTGTAACGCAATGTACTAAAAGGTAACATTTTAATAATAAAAATAAAAGATTAAAACCATGGATCACAGGTGGCCTCTTAAATTCAATTCGAAACAGAGATACATTAAAAAAACAATGTACTCTTAATAGAAATAACTTAGAACTTTTAAATAAATACAAAGAATATAGAAAAACACTTTCTAATCTAATCAAAAAAGCTAAACATTATAAACATGCGAATGATCCAAAAAAAAATGTGGAATGTAATTAAAGAGGCCACTAATGACCATAAAAGGGAAAACGAAATTAAAAGCATCATGAATAGTAATAATGAAGAAATCTTTGACAAGAAAGATATAGCGAATGAATTCAACATTTATTTTAATAAAATTGGTAAATCATTAGCCAAAAAAAAATAGTACATTGCGATATTGACCACAAGGTTAAATCAACTTGGAACTCTTTTTATTTCACTCCAATATCTGACAATGAACTCATATTGTCACAAATCCCAAGAATAAATTACTTATTTTCTTATATTTTGTATTCTCTTTCAAAAACGAAACTGGTACAAAAAATACGACATCGTGACAATATTACAAATAAATAGCCTGAAAAAAAAAAAAGTAAAAGATGGCCAGGATAATACAGTATTGCCCGAAATAAACAGTACTGAAACTAAGTTGGCAGTATCTCTTTGCGCCCGCTGTCATACCCAAGTTAGCTAGTATAGATCTGACAAGTAAACCTTAAACAATTAATTAGTAGGGCCTAATTGTTAAAAATGGTGTTAAGTATTAGATTAGATTAGATTTAATTAGGACTATGGGCCATGTGGCCTCCCCTACCTCGACCTTTTCAGATCTATTGTGGATATCCTTTAATCATTGTTTAGAGTACCCTGTCTAATGCGGTCTTTTGTAGTAGACTCCATAGACTGGGAAGTAGTTCTCCGGTATAGCTAGTTGCCCTTGGTTTTTCTTCTCCAAGTGTAAGGAATCTCAGTCTTACTAGACCTTCGCAGAAGCACAATACGTGTTCTGCCGTTTCCTTTTCTTCTTGACAGAATCGGCACAAGGCCTCTTCTGTCAGACCGATATTGAACATATGTTTGTTAAGCCTACAATGCCCTGTTAATAGACCTACTAGTATTCTAGTATTTTTCCTATTAAGGCTTAGTAGATGCTCGGTGAGTTTAGACGATGGTCCCTTTAAGAACTGTTTGGCCTGTCTCTGTCCTGGTGAGTTTTCCCACCACTCCTGAGATTTTTTAAACATCCACTGCTTTGTGCATGTTCTAATAGTTGTTTTTGTTACACCACAGAAGGGTTCTGGGCCAATAAGAGCATTTGAAGCTCCTTCTCGGGCTAGTAAATCAGCCTCTTCATTGCCTTGGTGTCCCCTGGTACCCAGGCTAAGGTTAGTCTGTTTTGACTACCCAGCTCTGTTAGGGCTTCCAAACAGTCCCACACAAGCTTTGAGTGTACCTGCATGGAACTGAGTGCTTTTAACGTCGCTTGACTCTCTGAGTATATGACAATGACTTTTCCATTTACCTTCTGTCTTAATACTTCTTTTGCGCAGTGATGTATTGCTGCTATTTCTGCCTGGAATACTGTCGCATATTTACCTAAGCTCAGTGAGATTCCTGTCTTTGGCTTGGTGTTAAGTATAGACGAGAAAGTGTTTTTAGTAGAGTATTATTTTCGCTCATACGGAATCGGCCGGTAATGATGCAAGTCTGCGATACATGTGTGATCAATTCACACAACGATTTAATGAACATTCCTCAAGTTATGCCTAATTTTATAGAGGATTGAAAAGTTCAGAAATGCCGGTAATGTATTGTGTCAATGAAAAGGAAACTCCCAAAAACCCAGTAGAGTTAACAACAACAATAACCATGTACGCTGATTTTTGAGCAATCTTAGAAAATCCGAAAATCAGGCAGAGAGGGACAAAGTTACATGTTACATAAAAAGAACTTTCTTGCAAAGAATCCTAAAGGATCTTGGTGAATTTTCGTATGTGATTCAGGTACATCAACAATTATATCGGAATTATCGCAGTAGAGAAGAATAGTACTATAGCATTCTCGCGTTAAAGTATGAAAATCCTGAGTGTTTAAAAAATATATGGTTTTCAGGCGAAGAACATTTTCTTTTGTAGGGCCATCTGAATCGCACAAATCGATTTCGATACTAAAGTGACAATAAAACGTATTTCCTAAATAAATAAAAAAATTACAAGTTCAGTACTGTTTATTTCGGGCAATACTGTATTAGTGCTAATATAATTAAAAATGTCCATGCTCATTTGTTGAGTCCATTAAAACATATTATAAATAACATCTTTAGCTCAGGAATCTTCCCTGATAGACTTAAAAGCGCCATAATTGTTCCATTACACAATAAAATAATAATAATTAATTGTTTATTACAAAATAAAGCTACAACATTACAAAGAGAGAAAATAGTTTAAATTTATGAACTCAAGTAATAAACAAGGTAATCCATTTAGGCCCATCAGGCCTGTCTATGGTATAGCCGTTCATTAAAATAATTCTGATAATTTAATTCTTAAGACATGTAAAAAATGTAAACAAAAAGAGTACTGTTGAAAAACATATTGAAAGGTAAGTACATTTATAACCTAAAAACTAATCTAATATATTAAAAAGTAAAAAAGACAAAAAATAAACATTTTGTGTGTGAGAGAGAAAGAGAGAGATGATTCAATTCAATTGATCTATATTTTTTTAATAAATGAATTTATTTTCTAGTATTTTATTTATTTTTTAAGTTTTTCTTTTTTTTATTCTATTATATCGTCAAAATTTTCATGAAGGATCCATTGTTTTAACTTGTGTTTTACTCTTCTAAAGTCTTTAATCTGTCTCGGCTCTTGCGGTGGCTTATTATATAATCTTGGTATAACATAAGTGTGACATCTTTGACGTAAGACTTTATTCACTCTAGGTAAGTAAACATTATTTGCTATATTTGATCTTGTCAAATAATTGTGATTAATTATTGTGGATGTTACAATATTATGTTTTATTGCAAAAGTCAGAGATATTTTGACAAATAATCTTCTTATATCTAAGATTTGCATATCGTGAAATAATTGGTTAGAACTAAACCGTTGTGGTTTAAGACAATATTTTTAAAATTCTTTTTTGAACTATCTCTATAGGTTTCATAAAATTTTTTCTTAAGCCACCCCAACCAATTATTCCATAATTTAGCAATGATTCTACAAGAGCAAAGTAAATGATCTTCATTTTATCTAAGGTAAGTATATAGCAGCATTGATAAAATTTGTAAATTAATGAACGCATTTTCTTTTTCAGACTATCCGCGTGAGCATCCCATCTAAGGAAGGTATCAACAAGAATGCCAAAGCATTTTACGTGTTTTGTAAAATAAAGGATTTCGTCCTTTTCCAAAGTGACACTTCTATAAGTAGGAAGAGTACTTTTATTTGTACAGAAGGGAATGAGTAGTTTTTCTGAATATTTGGGGTTAACAAATTCGATTGAAACCATTTTGTTACTTTTTTCAGATCTTCCTTAATTTTGACTTGAAGTTTTAATAGCAAGTAAGTCATTCAAATATATAATAAAAAGGATAGGTCCAAGAACAGTGCTTGTGGAACTCCGCAAGACACTGTTCTTATTACACTAAGTGATTCATTAATTTTAACACACTGATATCTGTTCATTAAAAATTACTAAAAAGTGCTAAGGGGAGTACCTCTGATACCAAGATGTTCCATTTTGTCAATTAATAATTTTTGACTTACTGTGTCAAAAGCTTTTTGTAGATCTATAAATACACCCATGCATGATTTTTTATTATCTATTGCTTTGTATATTTCTGAAGTAAGTTGGGCTATAGCATCTTTCGTTCCCATTTTTTCCCTAAAACCAAACTGATTTTTTTTTGTTCTAGGTAATCATATAATCGAATTTTGACAATTTTTTCAAATATTTTAGAAAAATCCGATGTAAGTGAAATAGGCCATTAATTTCCGTTTTTTCGCCTCCTTTAAATAACGGTTTGATATGGGCAATTTCAAATTGTTTAGGGACAAATCCATTTTGAAAACATAAATTAAATATATGGGTTAGAGGTTTAGCAATATATTCAATGGTTACTTTGAGCGTTTCATTTGTTATACCATCAGGACCAGGAGATTTATTGTTCTGTAAAGATAAGCAAGTACTAATAATTTCCTTTTTCAGTAGTGGGTCTTAGAAAGAAGGACCTTTGAAAATTGAAAGAATGATAATTACAACTTATTTTATTAATTTTTGATGCCAATTTAACACCAATGTTTGAAAAGTATTCATTAAAAGAATCAGCTATATTAGAAGGTTTAGTAACTTCTAAACCTTTTTCTAGCACAATTTTTTGTATCAGATCGTTTTTAGTTTTATAATTATTTGTGTAATCATTAACTACTTTCCAAAGATGTTTGGGAGATTTTTGATTTTTTAGCACTTCATTTTTAAAATACCTACGTTTTGCCTTTTTTATCTGTTTATTTAAGATATTTCTGTATATTTATTCATTTTTTACATTTTCATTACCGGGATTAGATAAATGCCTACGAAATGATCGGTCTCTATTTCTGATAGATGTTACTAAATCTACCATAATCCAAGGTTTTTCTTATTCTTTGTTTTAAATTTAATTATTTTTTAGACTCTTTTATATGTGTTTCATACTGTTGAAAAAATAAGAAGGAAGCTATTTCAGAATTTTGAGAATTTTAAATATTATCCCAATTTGTATTTGGAATATGACTAATAAACACATTTAAATTTAGCTTATTAAAGGTGGTTATAACCGGCTCTGTCTTTGGTTTACCTAACACTTTTTTAACCATCATTACTGGAAAATGATCTGTAATAGAAGTTTGTATAATTCCCGAAAAAATGTAGTTATTATAATCTTTATTTTTTCCTTTAACAAATATAACAGACATGAAGCAGATTTATCTGTAATTCTTGTATATTTATTAATTAGTGAAATGAATCCTCTTTCGTATAAAACAAATAAAAATCCGTCACTGGATCATTTGTTAGGATATCAAAGTTCAAATTACCAACTACGAAGGTATAATCAAAATCAAGATTAAAATTTTTTAGTCGCTCTGACAATGAATTTACGAAATCTTCTCCATTACTTTCTGAGGGTCTATAAATTGCCAGTAAAAGAATTTTTTCATCATTTATTTGAAAATTTACATTGATTGCATTTACGTTGCATTTGAAGTAATTTGTAGCCTAAAAAGAGTTCTTTTTCATGTAAACAACTACACCATCATTTTGATTATATCTTTTTTCGGAGTGAATTAATTCATAACCATCCAAATAATAACGTTCTTTATATTGTATTTTCCAAGTTTCGGTAAGTACATAACAACTAAAAGAAGTTTCAGTTTAAGAAACTAAACTCTCAAATTCCTCAAAATTCTTGTTGATACTCCTAATGTTGAGGTGACATATTGATAAATTATCATACGTTTTTTTAAAATCTATAATATTGTTTAAAACATCAACACTCTCAATTTCATGTGTATCTACAAAATATTCTTTAAAATCCCGAATAAACGTACCCATTTCAATGTAATATTTTTTTGTGTTTTGTTTTCAATTCATACAATTTTAATTATTTTATTAATAAACACTTCACTTTATAGAATTATTTCTGGATTTGGCAGCCTGGTTCTGGTTACAGGTTTATTCTGGGTATTTTCAGGTTTGAAATTTTTAGATGAATGAAGATCGTCGTTAGTTGGATTTATAGGAGTTTTCTGTGCAGCTTGAGTATCTGTTTGGGAGACTCTGTATTGCTGAGTTGATGTTGGTGTAGATGGGGTGCTATTGGCTTCTATGGGGTTACTTTCTTTTTGTTGGGTTTCTAGTAAATCTTGAACTGAGTACGTTTTATCATTTACATGTTACACAAACAAGGTGATAAAAAAATCATAAATCCTTATAGACTTATTGCTTTAACAAGCACCATTAGTAAAATGATAGAAAAATGTATTAAGCTTAAGTTGCTGCCATTTATAAATAAGTATAATTTAATTAATAAAAATCAATATGGCTTTAAGGATGTTTCCTGTGCTGAAGATGCATTGTGCAAGGTATCTAGTGAAATTTTTCAAAGATTGGATCAGGGAAATAAGGTGATTGGTATATTTCTAGACTTGGCTAAAGCCTTTGAAACTGTGGCACACCAAATGCTACTAGATAGGTTACATCACATTAGTATAAGGGGTATAGCTAACAATTTAATTAAATCATACTTAAGTGGTAGATCCAAACGTGTTAGATTTCAAAAGGGATTAAGTGAGTTACTTATAGTGGAGGGCACAGTGCTGGCATCATTGCTATTTAATATATATGTAGATGGTATCTTGTGCACTATCAATTAGGGGAATGTCTACTGTTTTGCCGATGACACGGCTGTCATAATAAGTGGACAGGATTGGCCGATAACGTTAAAAAAGGCAGGCCATATTTAAACTAAAAAAATGGTTGGATAGTAGTCTACTATCCCTAAATATTGATAAAACAAAATTTTTGGCTTTCTCTCTTTTGGCTAGAACATCTTCCAATTTTCCCAAAATCATCCTTCATGATCAAACATGTAAATTAAATAATAATTGTCAGTGTAAAAATACAATAAAAAGATCAAATACCATTAATGAGTACTAATTGACGATCATCTCACATACAATATATCACCGGAAAGATTAGAAAATTAATTTTTAAATTCTATGAATTACTAACATTCCTTCTCCAAAAATTTTAAAAGCTGTCTATCTCTGTCTTGTAGAATGAATCATAAACTATGGGTTAGTTGTTTGGGGTAATGCTGGTAGTACACTTGTCTCTAAGTTACAAATTACACAGTAATACATAATTAAAATTATGCTTTTTAAAAACAGAAGACATTCAACCGAACTGGTTTATAAAGATAGTAATTTACTAACTCCTTATCAACTTTATTTGAAATCGATAATCAGATTTATGTTAAAAACAAACCATTTTAAACAAGGAGTGTCTCATAGTATTAATACTAGACTGGCTGCTAAAAAAGATTTATGACTTCAAAATCATAAACATACTGCATGTCAGAACCATATCTATTGTGTAGGTCCCAAGGTATATAATTGCTTACCACAGAAATTTAAAAATAAGTCATATCATAAAATCAAAAATAGGATAAACCAAAGGATAGTTGAAACAAATTTTTCGATTACTTATCTATTATAAATGTTTCGTCCTTTAATCCTAAAATTTATTCATTTTCAGCATTTGCTTCTCTAACTATTAATATTAGATCATTTGTGGGTAATTTTAAGTAAATGTGATTTATATCTAATTAACCTCTCCCTAAGAATGTATATGAGTGTCATTAAGCGCACACACAGCATAATAAATGCCATTGTGCGCTGAACAGCTACTTATTTTTCTCTCCCTTCAATAATGCAACCAAGAGACAAGGTTTAATTAATTCCTAGCAATGAGAAAAAATGAATATTCAAAATTAGACCATTAAAAGTTTTGTCTTCTAATTTATAAGTTCTTGATTACTTTTAATGTTAGGCTACTAGTGAACTTAAGTCGCACTGTTAGGTAATTAGGATAATTTGTTTATATTTAAGTTATTGTGTATATTTATGTAATAATGTGCAATTTAAATTACTGTAAACTGAATGGCTAATAAATGAAAAAAACCTGTATCTTCCTGGCCACTGCCATCATTTTTCTTTTATTTCTCAATTTTTCTTTTTGTTTTCACTTTGGGGTTAATATTTTCACATTTCCAAAAAGTTACATACATAATTATAATTTACCTTAATTTTTCTCCTTTTTCCATCACCTGGTTCAACTTCTTTTACTTCAGGACTAGCATCTCGCCCTCTTTTCCTTAAAGACCTACTACGAGTGGACGGAATAACCGGTATAGGTGGTGGTGTCGATGAATCATTAAAATCAAACGAAAACGATTGAATATTGATTGCTTTTGGTTCAGCGAGCTCTTCCTGATCTGTTTCTGCAAGGGGATCTTTTTCAGGAATCGGTCCAATACTGTCCGCAGATTCTGGCATGGTAATAACGGAATCGGCTGTAGATATAGGAGAAGATACACGAGATGAATTTGTACTAGCTGTTTTACTTGTTTTACCGTTTTTTGATTTCGTTTCTGATTCTTCGGTACTCTTTACATTACCTGAAGTTATAAAAAATGTAATAGAATATAATTTCTTGAGAAAAATTTAGTAGTTTGGTGGTAGAAATTTAATGAATGTAATTATAGGTTGGGTCACTTAAAAGTCTTCCCTTATCTTTGTTATTAATTGAAATATCAGAAAAAAATTTTTGTTATTTAGAATATCGTGGATTTTCTACATATAGAAAATTTTTTAATTATAAATTTAAAGATAAGTTATTCTTCATAAAAAAATTGTGCATGGTCTAAAACCGAAAATACAACCATCCGAAATCGTATAGGAGGTTTGTCAAAAAATTATTTTTGGTCAAGAGTAAAGTACAATCATTATTGACAAACCTCGTATACGACTCATAAAATTTGATATCTGATGGATGTATTTTATGTTTTTTTTTTGTCGGTTGTAAGCAAGTAGGGTTAGGTTTGGCCCAGAACACTGCAGCCTCTTGGGTTTATTGTATTCCCCTGAAGGTGTTTCAGCAAGCAGTGCCTTGTTAGTAATCCCACAACAGTGGATATTTATTTATTTTATTTATACAAGTTCATACCAGTTTACAGTTTATTAATAATGTAATTTCTGGAATATAAAACAGCAAACGCCTAAGTGAGTAAACACTTGTATTGCGCTGGTTAATATATGTTTAATAATTACATTTTAATATAATATAATTGTAATAATATTGCGTACATCTTAGAATAAAATAAAATTAAAACCTAAAATTCAATCGTCTAATACCAAATTTTATAAATAAAGGTACTTTTCTCTTGAGAATTTTTTTTGCATCTCGTATACGGCTCAAAAAAAATAATATCTGATGGTTGAATTTTAGGTTTTAGACTATACAGAATTTTTTATAAAGAATACATTTTTTTGATAAAACTAATAATAAAAAAGTTTTCCATATGTAGCCAACTTACGTAGACACACTGTCACAAAATAATTAATGAATTATTATTTTTGTCATAGTGTGGTTTCGAGAATTTATTTTTCTTATGTTTGAGCGAAGCAGATGGCCGACGTATAGTATTTTTAATACAAATCCAGATGTACATCATCAATGCCGTTGGTCTTCCCTAACTAAGCTAATAATACGAATATTCACGAGCATTCATGAAAGTAGTCTTATTACTAAAAACCGAATTATACCCAGGCAGCACACATTGGTATAATTAACGTATTTTATACGTAATTGTCGTTTAAATTTGGTATTGGTTGATTTCGTATACTTTACAGTTTACGATTATTATACATACCGTTTTTAAAATCATATCCCAGACAGCACACCAAATCCTTAGGATATCTACTGGACATCCCAATATCCACTGAATGTCCAGTCCATTGTGGATATCTATTTTATATCCATGAGGTGTAATTTATAGACATGCAAATGTCCATAAATAATAGTAATTATATAGCAAATTATTAAAAAATTACGCCATTGTGCTCGCCATTGTGGCTAATAGTACCGTTCAGATATTTAAAATTAATTTTTTAAGGTGTATTCAATATCCCATGGACATCCACTAAATATATCAAAGTCTAGGCGCGAACGCAAACCATTGTGGATATCCACTAGATGTAATGTTTGATTTTGCTTACTAAGTATAGATGGCGATACCACTTTCGCTCGTTGAATATCTACTCATGCTCAACCCGCTGTAATTGAGTTCGATCGAAATTGGTTTCGCAATCAGACTCTATTAGAGACTGGAGTCGAGAATTTTCATTTATTGCTGAAGAGTCCTAATAAGGATGACTTTCTCCTTAGAGGGCAAGATCAAAGGCAGAATGTTAAAAATATTTTGAGTGTTGAAAATATTTTTTTTTTATTGGTACCCTATTTTACTTATTTAAAGTACGCCTCAGCGTGTTTAAAACGAACTTTAAAAAACGCGCGTGTTTTAAAGTTACCTTGGAAACATCAACAACTCGAGAAACGTGATATCTAAATGCCAACTTTTTAAATATTGATCTGACAGGAGTGCCTTGTAATGTCGAATAAAATATTTCTGATAAATTTTTCAAAAAATGCATCTATCAGCTAAGCGTAAATCGCACAATTCACATCTTCTACAAGAGCCAAAGATGCCACAAATAGCAACCACCTTCAAAAATAAATACGTAATGTCCGGTGCATCTGTAAAAAACTTCCGCAAATCGTCTTCCTCGAATACATATGCCTTCTTGACTACCTCATTTTTGTTAATTGCCTTCATGAATGTATGCACTTTGACGAACGATTTTACATCGACCCCTTTGTTTATCCTCAACATACTTTGTAATTTTGAATGGATAGTCCACATAGTCGATACTTTATACTGTTCCGACATTTTCTGGAGATAAGCGAGAACAACTCGTTCATCTATATGTGTAACCATTTGCTCTTCCATCCACGTGTTGCATTTATCGTATTCTTTTTTAAAAACCGCTTCGGATTTTTGTGGTATTAAGCGCGATTCTGCTTTATTATTTAAATATTCAATATTTGAACTCATTTTAAACAATACCAACTGTTTCGACAATTAATCTTACGTGACAGATTGAAAATAAATTTTTGTTTGTCTCATTTTCATGACAACGAGGTATACTGATGTTACATCACAAATTCAACCATTTTCAGTTATTAGTTCTTATTTCCATTTTTTTATAGAAATAATGCCAATATTAAGGATTTCAAAGTATACCAATAAAAAAAAAATAGCGTAAAGTATTCGTGGATAACTGGTCTTTAAAACACTTGCTCTATTTCGAGCACACCGGCTGCGCCGTCGTGCTCGAAAAATCGCGCGTTTTAAGGACCATTATATCCACTTATACTTTAATATACTATTATCTCTGCTATTCTTCTTTCGACGTTATTCAATAATCATTGATTACTTATGAACCTCTACTAAAGATATCCATAAAATATTTTGCTGAATATCCGAATATTTTCTATATCCTGGGATATAGACGGACATTTGGATATCCCATATTAGATCCACGGGATATTTCTGATATCTTGTGGATATATTGGATATCCACAAAAGATATTCTGTGGATATCTATGGGATTTGGTGTGTTGTCTGGGATTATACGTTTTTTTATACGTCCTATGGTACATAATTGTAAATTATTCTACGTTTAAATATAGTTAATATACGACTATTTTTATTTTGCGATTTGGTTTAGGTTTATTTAGATTAAATTCGTATAAATTTATGTAATATTATAATATGTATTTTTCGTTAATATCTTCCGTTTAAATTTCGTCTTGGTTCATTTCTTAAACGTTTAAAAACTACTATTTTTATACTTGATGTTTTTTAACGTGTAAGTTAAACGGTTTTTTTTTGTAGTTACTAGTTATTGTATATTATTCTTAAAATATAAGTTACCTTACACGCATATTTCCAGTTGGCGATAAAAAAGTAGACAGGAGTAAATAGCGAATGAAACAAGGCATACTCGGGCTATGATCTCTTGTCATTTCTAGTCTTAAGTATGCGCGTATTGGGTAGTGTAGTATGCTGTGGTATTGTTGTGTAGGGTGGTTCTACCAAAGAAATCGCACGCTCTATGTTGAATTTAGAGGCCACAAATGTTACCAGTTTATGTCAACCAGTGGTGCCCCACAGGGCAGCAATCTAGCACCTCTATTGTTTTCTCTATTTGTAAACGACATCAGAGAAAACTTTTTAAGTGACTACTTATTCTTTGCAGAAGACCTAAAGATTTTTAGAACCATCAATTCACTAGCCAATTGCTTGATTTTACAGAATTATCTAGATATTTTGCACCAATGGTGTACTGAGAACAAATTACCACTTAATATTGAAAAATGCAAATTAGTTTGCTTTTCTTTAAAAACCAACAATACAATGTTCCAATATTCTATTAATAATACTCCACTAGTAGCAGTTGATCAAACAAAAGATTATTATTTTCGATAGTAAACTTAGCTTTTCAGAACATATATTAACAAAATGGTACTAAATACAAAGAAAATGTTCGGATTTATTTGTCGAACTTACAAAGACTTTAATTCTCTTCATTGCTTAAAAGTCCTCTATTTTGCCTATATTAGATCTCGCATGGAATATGCTGCCTTAATCTGCAGTTCATTGTATAATTTGTATAATTCCCACAAAGGTTATTTCTAAAATATTATCATTTAAATTGGATGGCAGATATCCACCGCAGGGATTTAATCATAGGCTGTTACTAAATAGATTTGCATTGTTGTCCCTTTCTAATCGTAGAAAATATAATTCATGTATGTTTACTTACAAATTAGTCAATAGTAAAATAAACTGCTCAGAATTGTTAAACTACCTAAATTTTCATATCCCACGCATTGAAAGAAGGTCACATCAACGCTTTTGTCTCCTGACTGCAAGAACTAACGTTTTTATCAAATCACCAATTCATAAAATTTGCTCAAATTATAATGAATTTGGTACACTGAATGACATTTACTTTGATTCTTTAGCATCATTCAAAAAAAATATTTACCAAAATTTGTGTCAGCGACAATAATAAATGTAACAGTGTTATTATCACTGTTATGATCATTATTTATTGTTAGTATTATTGTTTTTATTATTATGTCAATTTAATATTATGCAAGTGGGCTAAGAATTTTAATTTATGTATTCATTTAAAATATAAATTAAAACAAAGGTTAGATGAGAATAAGGTACTCAATAAAAAATAAAAATTAAATAAAATAAAATTACAATTATTTTTGTTAATAATATTTATATAATAATTATTATTAGGCTAGGTTAATTAAGTCAAATATTAACAAACTGTATAGTTTGTCCTGTAATTGGGTTTTTTCCTGTCGGACAATAAACATTTTTTTTTACCATACTCATATGTATACACGTGTTTAAAGATATTGATTAAAAGCATAGGTATAGGTAAGTTTATATTAATGTTTTATTTTAGCTATTTCTTCAATAATTCCTGCATTTTACAACAACTGCTGTTTTATAGGTAGGTATAGTGTATAAGA